CACACCCACTGAGTCCAGAGCTGGTGGGAGATCATCTTAGTATCATTTAATGCTTCAGCCTTAGGAAATTCTGACTAGGAATTGCAGGCTGCCAGTCCTCAGGGTGTCTGTTGACCAAGCTGATTCCACAATGCAGCCACTGTGTTGGAAAGGGCCATCTCCCCCAGCCCCTTCGACCTAGCCCCTGCCCCAGCCCCAGCCCCCCACCCCGGTTTCTGGTACCCATGCCCCCAGGGTGCCAGCTGGGCGGGTCTCACCCCCCAGGACCAGCTGCTGTTTTGTGATGACTGCGATCGGGGTTACCACATGTACTGCCTGAGTCCCCCCATGGCGGAGCCCCCGGAAGGTGAGAGAGCTGAGCGAGCTGAGCGCATGTGGTGGGGGCTGGGTTGAAGAGTTATCTTCCTGGTGGGGCAAACCACTACCACTAGGGGGGAAGGGGTGAGGGCTGCCCTCTTGAACTTGGCCTAACTCTCCTCTCTGTCTCCTGAACCTGTGCAGGGAGCTGGAGTTGTCACCTTTGTCTTCGGCACCTGAAAGAAAAGGCCTCTGCCTACATCACACTCACCTAGGCCTGGCTCTGGTTTTCCTGGACTCCAGGGTGGTGCTGCCCACCTGCCTCAGAACACCTCTGCCCTCCCTGGTCTGCTCCCGAGGGAGAGCGAGGTGACACCCCCAGGGCTGGGCCACCCTCCCTTCTGCAAGTGGAGCGTTGGCCCTGGCCTTGGTGGGCCCAGCAGGCCCTCTCCTTCCCTTCTTTCCTCCCCATCCCTTGGCAAATGGGCACCAGGGGCTTCTGCTCCCCTCAAAGCCATACCCCGCCTCTGGGCGGGCACAGGGGGTAGTGGATGCCAGCTGGGGGCATGGACAGAGCCTTTTTCTAAAGAAAAAGACAAAAAGTTAAAAAAAAAAAAAAGAAATTAATATATACAGAGTCCTGTGAGGACTGGCTGGGTGGAGGGGGCACTTCCAAGCACCCACTGGGCACCCGTTTAGGCCGGCTTCCCGCCTGGCGCCCCCACCCCATTTCTGGAGTTGCAGCTGTCCCACCTCCCCACTTGAGGTGGGCACCATTCTCCCCGAGTGCCCAGGGCCTGTGGGCATGGTGCCCACCATGGATACTGCATGGTTTTGAACTGTTCCTGCCCCTCCCTGACAGCCCCGCCCTGCACCCACCCAGTGCCTGCCATGGTGGCAGTGGGGTGGCAGCGGGGCCAGGTGGGTCCCCACCGGGTGCCCGCTGGAATGAGAAGCACAGACTCTGCAACAGACTCTCCTCTCCCGTCCCTTTCCCTCCCGGCCAGGCCGGGCTGCCCTCTGCCGCCCTCACTGGCTATTTTGGAGGTCATGAGGGGGCATGGTTGTTTCTTGTGGTTGTGTGTGTTTGTTGTTCGGGTTTTAAAAAAAAAAGGGAAATTGAGACTGCAAGTGGGGGAGGTGGTGGACTTGGGGGATTCCCCCAATCCAGGAGCACTCCCCTCCTTGTAACTGGGTCTCCTTCATTGCCTGCCTCTGCTGTGAATTAACTTGTTCTGTGTATTAAACTGGGCCTGACCCCTCTGCCCATGCCTGCCTCCTTCCCCAGCCCACTGTGGGGCAACACCGAGAAGGGGAGCGGGGCCTCGCCGCCACCTCCACCTCCTCCCCAGCGCCACCTCCACCTCCTCCCCAGCGCCCGCCTCCCTCTGGCTTTGTCCCAGCTCCTCCCAGCCTCTCCGGAAAGGAGAAGAGGGGGATGGGGTGAAGGGGGCTCCCGCCCAGCCAGCTGTGGTTACCTTGGCAACCGACTGCTGCAGCTGCAGAGGGAGGCATGGAGGAGGACGGAAGGAGTGAGGGCTGGGGGAAGGGAGGCCTGGAGGAAGGTGGTGGCCCCTCTTGGGCTAGGGTGGGGGCAGGGGTGTCATGGGAGCCTGTTGGGCCCCTGGGGCCCCTGTCCTGGATTGGGCGAAGAAAGATGGGGACGAGGTGAAGGAGAGGAGGATGGCAGCGGAGAGCAGGAGGAAATCCTGAGACACGGGCAGGAGGAGACAGATTGGGGTGAGGCGGGAAGGCGAGAACCAGGACACAGATAGGGAGGATTATGAAAGTCACAGTTTATTGAGAGAAACAGAAGAGAGGAGGGCCAGGTGAGAACACAGGGATGGAGATGCAAAGATTGAGGGGGCGTTGGCCTGGGAGCCAGAGCACTGGGAATGCTCAACAAAGCGAGGGAGGCCCACAGGGTAAGGGAGCTAGGGCTGCAGGACTGGCAGAGTCCTGCGACAAAAGGCCACAGGATTTAGGGGGACAAAAGGAAAACCTGGAGAGGGCCAGGGTGTGGAGGTCTCTGAACCTGGATGAGGAGAGAGGCTGAGAAGATGTAGGGGAAGGCTCAAAACACGCAGAGAAACTGAGGCAAGCTGGGAGAGGGTGTGTGAGCACCTTGGAAGGTGTGTATCTCCAGCCACACTCGGGGAAGATGTGAGCCGTGTTCCAGGTCTCCAGCCAGGCTGGCCAGTGGGGAAAGGCAGCAGCTTGAGGACCGAGGGCCGGGCCTCTGTGGAAGTGGAGGAAAGGAGACTTTGTACCCTCTGGAGGGCTTAGGCAGCCCGCTGGGAGGAATCCTTATGTCTTTCAGCAGAAGATAATTTGAGGGGAAAAGGTATGAGTTAGAAATACTGGTGACAGAGGAGGCAGTGGTGACAGGCAGGCACTGGGTGAGGGAGGATCACCTCCACTGAGACAGCCTGTCCAGAGGCTGGTGAGACCTATGTGGAGGCCAGCTGAGCCTGCCCCCAAAAGATGAGCTGGGACCCTCACGTGCAAGTCTTTTCCAGACTTCCACTCTGGAGCCACCTGCAAACAAATGCTGAAGCCCCAGACCAGGCAGGATGAGAGCTGACTCCAGCTAGGAGGCCTGAGAGGAAGGGCTAGCCCTGGCTTAGGACACAGGCTGTCAGTGTCTGGGTGACAGTTCCATGTGGTGAGGGGAGGGGAGGCTGCACTGTTCTCCCCTTGGCCTGGAAGTGGCTGTGAACCCCATGCCATTGGTGACCGCAGACGAAGGCCTAGTCCACTGGGACAGACAGAAAGGAGGTCATAAGGAGCACTATGGCCAGGGCGGAGATGCGGAGGGGCTGGGCCTATGACCTGCTTTAGAGGGTCAGGGTCTCTGACTTGGGAGTGTCAGAAGTGGTCAGAGCTACCAGTATTGAGCCTTTTTTGAGACGGGTCTCGTGTGGTTCAGACTGGCCTTAAACTCACTATGTAACTCAGGGTGGCCTTGAATTTCTGGCAGTCCTCTTTCCTTAGGGTTCTTGACAGGATTACAGGGGTGTACCATACCCAGCTTTTTTGTTTTTGAGACGGTCTGTAGTCTAGGATGGCCTCAAAGTTGAGATCTTCCTGCTTCAGCCTGCTAAGTGTTGAGATCACAGGTATATACCACCATGTCAACTACAGTTGGCTTTTGTTTTTTGAGGTACCAGGGGTCGAACTTGGGACCTTGCGCTTGCCAGGCAGGCACTTATGCTGCTGAGCTATCTCCCCAGCCTAAGTTTGGCTTTCTTTATGGTAAAATTCCTGAGTTTTAAAAGTTGGCTACTCACCTGGGCGTGGTGGCACACACCTGCAGTCCCAGCACTAACGTGAGTTCAAGGCCAGCCTGAACTAAAGGGCAAGACTATCTCAAAACAAGTTAGCACAACTCTAGCATACCTCCATAGGCTGGGTTTGGCTTTTAGGCAAGCATACAACTTCTGAGGTAGAATTCCTTAAAATTTCAGAACATTTCATACTGTGAGGGTTGGATTTCCATTGTTTGGGTTCCAAGAAAGAAATTTCCAAAGCTGCTGTCCTCTTGTTTTCTTAGACAGGGTCGAAGTTGCCAGGCTGGCCTTGAACATGCACTCTTCTTGCCTCGACCTCCTGGGTAGCTGGGATTATAGGCAGGCAGGGGTGGCTGTCCCAGGGTTCCTGGGGACGTGTGTGAGGCACACTTGGGTAGTGATGGGTGTTTGGAACTGGGGACAGGAGGGAGGGCTCCGTACTGACTCTGCTAGCTGCCATGCTAGTGAATACACGAGCCATTTCTATGAAACATTTATTTCCTTTGAAACTTCCAGAAACATGCCAGAAAATCTCAAGACAGGGATGGAAAGGGGAAAAAAAGACAATGAAGAATAATAAAAAGTCCAAATGAAACAAATCAGCAGGGAAAAAGCTTGTTGCTTTCTCCAGCCATTAGATCATAAAAAAAAAAAAAAAAATCATTAACCTCAAATTAAATAATTTGTTTTGCAGAAATTCTTAAAAAAAAAAAACAAGCAAACCAAAATAAACCAAAAATTATAATTTACATTTGTCAATATACACAATTAGGTCCCCATAATGATTTGAATGATCTGAAGATTAGATAACTAAAAAAAAAAGAAAAAAAAAAAAAAAAAAGGCTCCAGGTTACCAGGTCAGGGGCTGAGGAAAGGGGTGGGGCAGGGTACTGAGAAGCCCCCAGGACGGGGGCAGGCAGGGAGAAGACATCACAGTAGTTGGCCAGGGCTGAGGACAGTTGTGGGGCAGGGCTGTCCCACTGCTGCGAGGTTTTCCTCTTGGGATGGGTGGTGGGGCCACAGGTGGATCATGGGGGGCTGAGCCAAGTACCCTCTTCTCTGGCCCTGCCCCATGGGCCTGGCACCTCCCTGAGTGCCTTCATCTTGTGCAGTCCCAGAGCCCCCTCCCCCAAGTTCCCAGCCCCAAAGAGAAGGCAGTGGGGTCTCTGGACAAGGGCCAGGCCGGCTGGTGCTGGCTCTCGGCCCCAAGCTGCTGCCAACTCCTCCCTGCCTGCACTTCCCAGAAAGGGAAGCTGCCCGCCCGCCCACCTGCCTGTCCTGCCTACTGCCTTCCAGCCCACGAAGGACACGCCTCCATCTTTAGCTCCAGGTTGGGGAATCCACAGACTGTGCCATCCAGACTGTTCTGGCGCAACTCTACGTGAAAAAATAAATATATATATATATATATATTTTTTTTGTTTGTTTGTTTTTAAAGAATGAGAAAAAAAGAACTCGTGTTTCCTGGGTGAGCAGCGTAGTACACCAGCCTGGCTGCCTGGCGAGCTCCCCCTTATTGCCTTTAGAGAACAGCATCTCTGGGGTTTGCACTGTGAGTGTTCCCCGGGGAGCACAGTGAGCATGTCTGGGGGCTGCTCTCGCTGGGACCTGCGAGATGGCAGGGAGTCTTACAAAGGAAAACAGGAGATGAAGGCTGTTGTTCTCCAGCCCTGTCCCCAGGCTCCGGGGCACTTTCTGGAGCCCAGAGAAGGCGGGGCTGCTGGTCAGGGCTTGGTCGTGCCAAGGGTGTGGGGTGGGAAGCAAGAGCCGGCAGAGTCAGGCCGGCCAGGTCAGTAGCTCAAAGTTGGAGGGGCCTCTGGGCCCCAAGCCCAGGTGCTGTGGCCCCTGGCAGGAAAGGAGCTGATAGAAAAAGATCATATAAATGGTCCTGATTGTACAAAGAGAGTTTCTCAAAGCAGTGGACTCTGGTTGCTGGGGTTTCTTCTCTGCATCCTGGGGTCCCCAAGAAAATAATTTAACCTCTATGAAAGTGCTCCTGGCTGCATTGTGGAAGAAGGGGCTGAGGAGGGGACAATGTCCATGCTTTCTGAGCTAGCACACTGGGGACTGAGGAGCCCTGGTCTGTGGCCCTCTGGGGCCCCTGCCTCTCTGGGGTGCAGGGGAAAAAGGGCTTGTTTCGCACTGTCTTTTCATGCAGAGGCTTGGCCCACAGCCACACCTGTCATTCATGCGGAAGCAACACAACTGTGGACTCCGGGAGTTGCAGGACTTGAACACAGACTCCTGTGCCTGCTCTGTCTTCCCATAGCTCTGGGTGGCTGCGTTCTGAAAGGTGGCTCCATGGTCCCAGAGACCCCAGGTAGCTCAGACACTGCTGAGGACCAGCTCACTGGCCCTTGGGCTGGGACTGTGCTGCCAAAGGGGTTCCATCCATGCAGAGGGCTGTGGGGCACTGTGACCAGGAGCCCACAGAGGAGAGAGGGACAGGGGCCCGCGGCCAGTGGGCTCCCCCTCAGAGTTCCTTCTTCTCCCTGCTGAAAAGCTCAGCGAACTTGCGCAGCTGCTCGCTGGCGGCCTGCGACTCCTCCTGTAGTCGTTGGTTGTTCTGCCGTAGGCTGGCCACCTCAGACTGCAGGACCACCTTGTCCTGCTTCTCCTGCACGGGATGGGGAGGTGTCAGGCAGGGTGGCCCCAGGTGCTCTCAGGCCTGAAAGGCCCAGCCTGAGCGAGGCTGTGGGGTTCAAGTCCCAGCTCTGTAGCCATAGCTGAGCAGCCTTGGCCAAGTTGGTTCTTGCCCTGGGGCCCCTTTGCTCAACTCCAACAGGGCTGGCTCTGAGGGGTCTGGAAAGGTGTCAGAACCCAGGCTGACCTGAGGAATTGCTTGGCAGACATCATTAGCATCACCTCATCCCACCCACAGCCACTCTGAAATTGAGGAGGTCATTACTCTCTCTCCTGGGCGAAACCAAGCCTCATACTGCAAGGCTGCCTGAGCAGGCACCACCACTGCTTAAGAGATATTCTTCTGAGTGACAGAAGATCCTAAGGCAGGGCCTTGTCCAAGGTCACACTGCTTCAGACAGTGGGGCCCTGGGGGGGGTGGGGGGGAGGGAAAAGTGTCACTGGACCCTGCTGGTCCTGTGCTCGAGGACTTAGAGCGGACACTGCATCTTTCTGCCTTTTTCCCCAGAGCAGATAAACTAAAAGGCCTAAGTCTCCTCCACCCTTGTCTTCCCTTACTCTTTTATACCCTGGAGACAGATACTGAGCTCCACTAGGAAGGATCCCTTTTACATGTCCCTCTCGACACATGGCTGTTCATCTTTTGAAAAAGTATGACTACATTCTAGGAAATAGTTCTGCAGCTTGCTTTGGCTTTGACTTACATTACTGGCCTTCTCTTGCATGTTAGTCTGTAGATGGATTTGTTATTTTAATTGGCTGCAGAGTACTGCTGCGTGGTGTCCTGTCATTTACACTGCCGTTCTCCTGTTGACGGACAGCCATCTGGCTCTCGTTTTACTGCCAACAGTGCAGCAAGAACCACCCTTGCTCACGGATTTCTTTGTACTGACATGCGAATTCTCATGGACAAATTCCCACAGGTGGAAGTACTGGGTCAAAAACATGTACAATGCTTTTGGGTTTGTTTTGTTTTTGAGAAAGGATCTCCCTTTGCAGTTCATGGCTTTTTTTTTTTTTTTTTTTTTTTTTTTT